ATTGTGGCAAGTGGTTTAATGTCACCATTATCAGCATATATATTACTTATCTTACTGTTTATTGCTGTTATATGGTTTGTTGTATTGAGACGCGAATTGAGTATAGGTAAAAAAAGTGAGCGGTTGCGGGATATGCGGAACAGGTAATCGAATAAATAGATGTATATATTATACATTTTTAGATAAGTTATGCATTATTAATTTGGCGCATTTCTTCTCGAACTGTCCATAATAATTGGTAATGTTGAGCAAGTTCTTTAGCCGTCATACTATCGGGACGATACATATATTCGAGCTATTTTTGTGATATGATATTTACAGCACGAATTTTTCTACTGATTTCTCTTGCACGTTTAACTCTTCTAACAACATTCTGCACCCACAATTCATAACGACGAATCGCTTCTTTTTCATAGAAAGGATTAGTAAGTTTAGCTTCCGGTCTATTTTTAAGTTCCATATAATCTTTATAACTAATATCGCAATAAGTATTTCCTGTACAATTTGTGCTCCAATGCTCATTCATAAAATTAGGAAATCTATATTCACATCCACGTCATATTCTAGAATAAACGAGCTCATTACAAGAATAACATATTGCTATACTTATACTTACGGAATGCCCAAGATCACCTTCATATAAATACTCCATCTTTCTGATGATAAGATATCGCTTATTATAATCAGTTAAGGTATTATATTTTTTATAGCTCATTAACTGATTCCAAATTCGTTTTTTCCAATCAGATGGGGTTTCACCTTTATGGATTACTGGAAATTGACAGTTATCTCTCCATGCAGATTCGCTCAAAACTAGGCAGTTGTCTGTATAAACCATATTTAACGATTAAGTAATTTATAGTATTTTTTGGAGATTATATGATTTATATTGTATTTAGGGATTTAGACTTATTAGATTTTATCAATTATATACTCTAGATATCTGAATTCATTTTTTGTCGATTTAGCATTTCAGTGCGTAAGGGAACAGAATCAAGACTATCCACTGTTGAGAACATTGTTAATCTTTCTAGTTCATTATCCCGCCTTTTCGCAATACCTGCTTAAAGCCAGATCTTAAATAGATTAACTACTTTTTTTTTCTGAGAAACAGAGCTTCATTGTTCCATAATACTAGAGAGGGTGTTAACTACAATTGTCTGGCTTCGAGTGATAAAGTCACGAGAAGGTGGGATCCAACTCAAAATTATCTTCTATTTGTCGATATCCCACCAATCCACTACACTTCGTTTGTTCATGTCATATAGTGGCACTCTTCGAGCTTATCGGCAAAGAAGTATATGCTATCTGCCCCGACAATTCATTTCACTTTGTTCATTCATGGTCGGGATAAGTATATAGTGGAG